AGGCTCCACGTTCTCCACCCTATCGAGCATACTAATGACGTGAACTAACTTCATGAAACTTTAAACAAACTGATTTGACAGGAACGAGTCAGATGTGATTTCAATAACGGATGGCAAACAGATACTACTATCTAAAAAGTTATTTTCAGCCACACAAGGAAATCATAGAATCTAAAGAAAAGAATGCACAACAAGCCTCAACTTAAGCCTTCCAAAACGGAGTTGGGATAGACCCACTGCCTGGAGGAGGCTGGTGCAGATTTTAGAGACAATACCCCGGCTATTTCTATTCTTTTCGAGAAATGTCAGAGGTACTTACATGAAGGAAGACTCGACCAGATTAGTCCTTGGAATATTTTCCTTTCTTAAAAGAGGAAGAGAGAAAGAGAAAAAAAAATAACGATAATCTTTACTTCATCCAGCCTTGCAGTGCTTCTCCACCTGATTCAAAGCTGCAGGCACGGCGACCCACACAGAACCTTCAAAGTCAATCCAATAGCAGCCCGAAGATGTCTGGGTGTACGCGTGTGCTCAAGTGTCTGTGACTGCGAGCCGAGCGAGCAGAGAGCTGGAGACGAAGTGTGCGTGTATGCGCGCGGAGCGGGGGGGGGGGGGGGCGAGGGGGAGGCGCGCACGGGATCGCGCATTCGCGCGCGCACTGAAGCCGCTGGAAGAGAAGGAGGAGAAAGAGGAGGAGGAAGGTGGAGGAAGCGAAGAAGGAGGAGGAGGAGAAAGTGGCTCTCTGTGGCCGGTGGGATTAAAAGTAGCCAGACTCGTCCAGAAAACTGCATCCAGGAAGGAAGTGACAGAAGACGAATGGAAAAAGGAGAGCAGCACACAGGCTTAGAAACGTCGCGTAAAAGAGCTGGCGGGGGGTGGGTGGAGAGGGAGTGGGGGGGATGTAAGGATACTGGGAGGGGACGCGGGGGTGGCAAGCAACACCGAGCACACGGGGCTGGGGTTCTAAGCAGCACGTACGCGGCAGTGCGCACCCCCCCCCCCATTTCATTTTATTCTTGCCTTTGCCTGCGCTGCCTTTTCCTTTCCGTTTCTCTATCCCTACGAGCCCAAACCGTTGCCTCTCCTCGCGAGCTGGGGAAATCATCAGTTTCACTCTTGCAAAAGGGGGGCGGGACTAGATCTCGCAGCATTTTAATAAAACAAACATACTGCAGCTCCCTCCTCACCCCTCCAGTCTCAACTAGATTGATAAATTACTCCACTACACTACTTTAATTATGTATATGGTATGCAGAATAAATCACTGAACATCAGTACCTCAATCAAGCACTTTTAAATGATAATTGCATCTTGGTGAATCAATCTTTCCATTCCTGACATTTTGCTAATTTTAGTTTTACGGTGGGGTAATGGCACATGCCATACGCAAACCTAATGACAATTCTTTATTGCATGAAAGGGAAGACAACACGGGGAGCGGCGGCTCCCTGCCTCTGTCCCCGACGCTGCGGAGGACGCTTGGAGGGGACGCTCGACTGCCGCGCGCTTGTTCCCCCAGGAGACTGCGAGCCAGCCAGCAGGAAAGTCCTTCTGAAGTCGGGATCTTCCCTCTGACCAATAGGAGCTCGACCCTAAGAGCTGCTCTGGTGACTCCCCCCTCCCCGCTTTGGATTCGCGGTAGCCACTTCATTCTTGCTCCGGTCCGCGCGCGCCTCCGTTACTCACGCGTAAAAGCCACGATCCAGGATGTCTGCTAGTCTTGATCCCAGTGTGCGCTTCCTGCCCTCCCAGAATGTACAAAGCTTTTGGTCTTGAGACCCGGAGAGGTAGGCTAGAAAGTTAGCCGAAAGGATTCTCCGATATTAGTAATAAAATAATTACAAGTATTTAAAATCTCGACTTTATCGCAGGGCCATGAACTTTCGAATCAGTCTGAACATATTTATCGAGGGGGACAGATTCCTCGGACAACCCCCTCCACTTCCCTCAAGCGTCTCCTCCACACCTTACTGGACTTTATCCAGGTCATTAACATGTAAACCAAACCAACTTCCCAAATGCATTAGGCTACCCTGGCTGATAGCGGATGACTTCACTTATCCTGAAGAGTTTCAGCTGCACAGGAAGTAGCAACAGAGACTGATAAGAATACTTGTGTTAAGGGTTAAGGCTGCTCGATATTTTTCCATAGCGAAAACATAGGTTAACAAACAACTGATACTTAGGAAAAAAGGAATTGGGTTCGTCCCTACCCTAGTCAACTACAGCACACTCAAAAAGCTAAAGATGAAATGTATCCTGGTATCACACACACACACACACACACACACACACACACACACGCACACACACACACACACCAAAGCAAACAAACAAGACAAGATTGCATGCCGGGGTAGGGTCGATTTTTTTAAACGTTCAAAACAAATTATTTTTTTTTAATATTATGACTGGAGGAAGAGAAAGCTCACAGAGGACCATAACACAGAAAATACAAGATATACAACGGTAGCACGGTGAAATAGCTAGCTAACTAAAGGTATTTTCTCAAAAAAAAAAAAAACACAAAACAAAAAACAAAAAAACCAACCCAAAACAAAATGAACAACCAAAAACCCTCCTCTCAAAAAACCATCCTTTCAACACTGTGTGTTTAACCCTAGGAGGCTGCATTTCCTGGTAAGTTCTTCAGCAGGCCTACAGAGGACTGTTTTAACTGCAGGAGGACAATGTGGGCTCAAAAGGGCTCCGGTCTCACTGTGCAGGCTGTTTGAAGCCCCTGGTTTCTCTACAAGAGTGGGCTCCAACATCTAGACACCCCCAAAGGCTACACTTGAAAGTTAAGCTACATCTGAACTCTCTTCAAGTGTATGGCTCCTTAGAGTGTGACTATTAATTAGTAGAGCTACTTTTATCCCAGGAAAGCATGACAAACTGTCACAAAGTGGAACATAGTGGCTTTTTGTTTGTTTGTTGTTTTTGCAAATTAGTACCTATACTCTACTGTGCTGGCCATTCATATAGCAAGTGTGTGACTATCGTGAGTATGGCAAAGCCTCTTTAAAGGTACAGCCTCTGATGTTTAAGGATGCTCAATACTGAGGCGGATCTAGACAGGGTGATGTAAATGAAATTTAGATCATTTCTGAGGTTTCCAAAGATGCTCACTGAACAAACCTTGTGAAGGACCATGGGAATGTACTGCCATAGTACTTTAAATTAATGTAATGAACTGAAATGGCCTATGTTACAGGACAAAGCAGATACAGTCAATACATGAATTTCAATTATGATATTATAGTTCATTATAGAGGATATTTCTATTTATCACAGTCTATTTCAGTTTTAGATTTATTTTCCTTCAAAATGAAACTTTTATTTGACCCTTTTACATGCCAATGAGTTATTTAGTAATAAATATTATAACAAATTCATGTTTATCAACAATAGGATAAACATTCAAAAAATGCTAAGCTAAAGTGAGGATGATTTGAAACTTTAGGGCTGGAAGGTATTAAAATAGAAGATTTCCCCTCTCAGTATATTTAGCTTCTTAATTATGTGTGACTTATGTTAATACTAGCATTAGTTACCTTCACATAAGCCTGTGTAACTCAAGGGGAAGGGAAAAAGTTGCATGAAAATAACCAGTAGATGGTTACCTGAGCTTTAAACTTAATGGTAATCCATGAGGTGGTTGATCCAGAGTGCATTTTGTATTTGTCTTTAAATCACCTCAGACTTACACTATTTATTTACATAAATTTTCTCGAACTGGGCTTTCCTGTTTCCGAATGGGACTTGGGGAGGATCAGAATATTTTCTTGAATAGGAAGTAGGTTGGTCTAGGTACTGGGAGACTCACAATTCTCTAATCCAATTTCAAAATTTGTGTAGGTGCTGTGTCTCAGTGGCAGGACACTAACACCCCCAGCACGCACCAGTTCTTTGCTTATGGTTTGATATCCAACAAGAAAATACAAAAACTGTCTTACTAAAAGATAAATCCTTTCTAGACTTCTGTCTGTGTGGTTATACGTGCTCTCCAATTTAGTTCTGTGCTTGAAAAACAAAAGAAAAATATTATATCATTTATATCAGGATGAACATAGGGATTTGTCTAGTTAATAAAAGGCAACTTTCCTTTAGGAAAGAAGAGTGACATGATGGCTGGAATTGGTGTGCTGTTGAATCCCCTCCTCTCTCTTTCCTCTCTCTCTCTCTCTCTCTCTCTCTCTCTCTCTCTCTCTCTCTCTGTGTGTGTGTGTATAATCACCAATTTTCCTTACATTAATTATTATAAGTGCTTTATATTAAATATAAATACACATTAGCTACCTCTCCAAGGACTTATTTAACAATATATTTAAACAACTAAAGTTACATAGAGCATGGCGATTGTTTCAGCTCTAGAAAAAGCTAACATTCCAATTCCTGGTTTGTGCCATCTTACTCCACCCTCTTTTCTTCTGCTTCCCTACATTAAAGCAGCACTCACTCTAGGAGAGCCCTGTGCACTGGGTCTGCCTGCTTTTAAGCCTGGCCCACGCTGGGTGTAGCTCTTGAAGTGAGCTTTAAAAAATTATTTTAAAGTGAGCTGGGGCGGTTGCCACAGCAACCTACCCTGAGATGAAGAAAGGATATAGATTAATCTACCCCTTAAGATCATTCAAGTGTACAGTATTTGTTCTTCAGCCAGAATACTTTCAACACAAATATAATTGAACATGAAAGTTTAGAAAAATCAGAGAAGCATGGTAAGATTTAAATTCTACAACACAAAACATATTTTAACCTCTTTGTAGTTGTCCTGCGATGGTGTGTGTCACTGCCAGGAGGCAGACTAGCTGCGGTAGAGACTTGCAAAGGTGGGCCTCGGATGCTGACGTGCCTTAGGCAGCATGCTGATGCTCCGAGGACAAGAATGGCCTACTGCACCACTGCCACGTGCGCCAAGATTTTAAATACTTTAACATACAGAAACTGGTGCTTTTACTTTTATGGGAAGTGTGTGGTAAAAGATAAACGTGACCACTCACCACCTACACCTTCTTTACTGCCACAGCCATTTGCCGTCCATGCTCCGCTTCATCTCCTCAGAGGTTACTTCACAGTTTTCAGCTCTTTTTTTGGCACCTTAAAAACGTGTAAGTGTAGAAAAAAAAGTTATTTTCTTTAAAGTTGACAATAAAGTAGATTCAGGTAGGTATGGTTTAAAAACTTTTAAAGGAAGGAAACTTATTATTTTAAACTCAAATAATTTGCATTAGCTAGAAAAGACTTTAAATGATCCACTGTGATAGTGCCCATAATTTTTTTTTAAAAATAAAATGATGGCACACCTCTAAATTTTACAAATTCACTAGGACAGCTTTACCCAAGCAGACCATACAGCATGTGCACTGAGTGTCACATAGGATCTGGTTTACCAAACAAGGGTTTGTTATATGCCTCTTCTCATAGACAGTGAGCCTATATTTATCTTCACGTCTGTATCTTTGATTTTATATCTGATGAAGAATCACAAGAACAAAAGTAAAATAAAAACCCACCATTTCTGATGATAACAAAATCTGTCAAATTCGGAGATACTTGTAACAACATCTAAATTGGTGAAAAGGCTCATTCTAGGTATTGCTTCAAGGGCCATGTCAAATGCTTTGAGATTACTGATGTGGGTTCAGGCCTGTGCATGGATTCTACAGCAACACCTTATTCTTCCAAGCTGTGTTTAGCTACATGGTACTCTGTCTCAGACTAGCTTTCCATCACTGTGGTACGCCAATGATTCTTTCCTTGGCTTCAGAACAGGAGCAGTCCCCCCAAAGGACCAACTATGACAAAGCAGATCACAAGGGCCTTTTCCCATGTATCTGAGCGCACAGTGAGGAGTCATTTAGAAAACTATTCTTCTGGGTTGCCATCACATGGTTTATTTTGATCATATCGTGTCGGAGTCAGCCAGAGAAATGAAGAATTCGGACAGGATTTGTTTGAGGGCTGTGCTCATCGAATTTGCGGCCTTCAAACCCAGGCCCACTATGCCTAAATCTCAACTCGTCCGGTTCTCAGACAGTGCCAAGTTCTCTGGCTAGTGGCTCTCTCTCAGCTCTGCTCCACTGTAATGTATATTAAGTGGGGGTCATGATGCACATATCTCCCAGGACCTCGCCACTCTACACTTCATGAAACAAAATCTGAAAGATACGCAGACAAACAAACAAAACACCCGAACTCTCTCTACAAAGTGAGATACATTTCTTTTATCAGTAAGTCCAAATAAGGCTTGCTAGGTAATTTGCTTCTAAGTGTGTGGCTCATCCGAAAGAATCCACAGAGACAGCTAAATTTAATGGGACTTTACGTTTACTCTCGCCATTGTTAGATGCTTATTGAAACACTGGTTCTACTCCATTTCTTGAAATATCACAAGAGACTTGAAATTTAAGGAGTGGGTATACACACTTCCCCTTTTAACTGTTTCTTCTAGAGTTTTCACTAGGTCTGTGCTCTTTCATTTTACGAGATCCTTAATAGGGGATGCGGTGAAAGTTTGGGGTTAAAAATTTCACCCGGCATTTTGGTACCCACTTCTTTGTTTGGGAAGCAGAGGGCTGGGATTCAGTCTGCCGCAGGGCCCCTTAAAGAGCAGACGAGGGACGCCTCTGGTTTCAGCAGCTCACTCGGCCGAGTTATTGATTGCAGGGAGCAGCAATCCCTCTGGCTGATTTGTGTTGAAAGCGGACCCGCTGGCTGGGCGGACTGGAGAGGCGCAACAGCCGCAACGCCACCCAGTTACTGCTTGGTCCTCCCCTCCGACAAGGCTTTCGATCCTATCCGCTCTTTCTCCGCGGGTCGCTATTTCCTCCCACCCACTTTTCTCGTGGTCGATGGAGCTGAGGGGGTGGGGACTCTTTGCCCCGCGAGTTTTCAGAGCAGCCAGGCTGCTAGTGTGTGTGTGTTGGGGGGGTGGGGTGCTCGAGTGTGCCACGTGAGTGCGCCACGGACTGGCCGTAGGAGGCCGGGCCCTCCGACGGACCTGCTGGGCCTGGCTGCACAGGGGGTTGGGCTTACTATCTGTGCCCGGGACAGGAAGGGGTGTGCCGGCCTGCGTTCGGCTGAGAGGAGTTGTCTCGGCTAGGAGGAAAGAGACCGGTGGCTTGCTGATAAAGATGGGGTTTGATGGGTTCCAAGGAATGGAGGAGGGCGCCAAGACAGTGGGTGCGCTTTGGAAACGTGCGGTGGCGGCGCTGGTGGAGTTTCTCTGCTGGTCTGGATTTTAGGATCCCAAGAATATTTCTTCCAAGGAGCTGGAGATGAGCTCTATCCGATCTCCACAGTCACTGGGGTTCAGCAAAAGGAGCCCACCACCCACAAAGAACACAAAGTGCTGGCACGAGGTCGGCGTTTCTGGTTACTCGATGCGCATCTAGCATTTTGCAATCCTGGGAGAGAAATAGGGGCTTTGGGCAGGTCCGGCCTCCCTGTCCTATAGCGTCCCGGATTTTTTTTTTTTTTAAACAAATCTAATAGACCAATAAGAAAGGATCAGGGTCCAGAATTGGATTTAAACCCTAAGCACTCAGGATCTACAGAAGTATAAAAAAACAAAACAAAAACTAAAAGCCAACCACTAACTTCAGCGGTTAAGCTACCTCTGTCTTGGCATAGTAAAGCTCACCAAGTAGAGAGAGAAGTGGGATGCTAAAGAAAATGAACAGTAAACCCAAACAAGAAAACTTCCTTCTCCTTGCACAACTTTCATGTGTTACCACTTGGAATCAGTGTTGGATGTTCTGCAAAAACAGCCGTTGGGAAATGGAGATTCTGGTGATGTTCTTTGTCTGTCTAGGGTGCTGTAAGTGTGGTAGGAAGTGTGGTAAATGTGGTAGGAAGAGCACATCAAAAACTTTGTAGCTCACTGTCTGTATACCTCTAAAGTGTAAACGTGTATGTCCTCTTCTCGAGGACTGCTTTGAATAGGGTAGCTGCTAGACACATGTGGCTTTTCAAGTTAATGAAAACTCAACCTTATCCATATTTTAACTGCTTGATCACCAAGGCCCACGTGCTCAGTGGAAACTTTGAGGTAGGGATATATTTATATTCACCACTACTACATGGAGTCATACTGAGAGTACGGCAGTAAAGTTTTTAACTAGACTACAGGCTTTAAAAAACCTTCTGTTTGCTGGACGGTGGTAGTGCATGCATTTAATCCCCGCACCTGGGAGGCAGAGGCAAGCAAATCTCTGAGCTCGAGGCCAACGGGGTTTACGGAGGGAGTTCCAGAACAGCTAGGGCCACACAGAGAAATCCTGTCTCAAAAACAAATAAACAAAACAAAATATTTTGTGCTTGATACTAGCCAAATTTTAAGACATTCTGCATTTCTGTTACATAGTTGTTGTGCAAAATAGTTTTCAAGTCTGAATTTTAATGTCTTTTATGTTGAGAAAGATTCTGGGAAACACCTAACGTATACGTCGTTTTGTTGTTTTTCAGTAAGGAAGGCAAGTCAACAACAGAGAAGCTAACCAAGTGATCCATATCTGTAAATTTAGAAAGAAGCTTAAGCCTCTGATAGAGCCCAGGATCCTTGCTACTGGCTAGTACACCGTGTCTGGTTTGGTCCGGCAAACTGACTATGTACAAAGGTGTCTTGACAGATTTTAAGCAGAATTATCCTTTTACAAGAGAGAATGCTTCTGAGGATTCATCCCTAAGAAAATTCCATTTAATACAGAATGAGCTGCATGAGGAATAATACTGTCTCCCAAACTTAAACTGTATTACTGATATTATCAAACAAGCACATGATGCTTTTCAAAGAGAGCTATTGGGATTTAATACTCTGCCTACTTGTACTTAAAACTTATGCAGAACTAGCATTATACTTTTAGAATAAGAGATAAGAAGGAATATTGAAGTCCAAGAAAAAGATGTTCTCTGAGGTGAGACTTGCTAACAAAGTATAATCTTCCTCAAATTTGATAAGAAATTGAATTCACTGATTTCACAAGATAGGATTTGCTCAGAAATGTTAATGCCATAAACAGAATGAAATCACAAGTATTGCTACGTAGGGTGAGAAAATGAGCAGCAGGTGCTACGGCATTTTAGGCTGAGCATCACTTGGTGCTTTGGTAAGTAGTGAGGTGATTTATTTTGATGCACTTGCTCCCTACATTTTTTGCTGTTAGTTGAGATTAGTTTTGATATTAATCCTGCCCATTAATGGTAATTAACCTTAATAAAAGTGTTTTTTTGTTTGCATCAGCATATTCACAAATGGGAACTAATTTTAAAATAATAATTTTGAATGTTGGATTGATCCACCATTGAGTCATCATCTGTTTCTCTTGTCTATTTACCATTTGCTCATGTTTGAAAGAATTCTTCTCATGTGACTCGAAATCCAAGGCCCTACAAGAAATATCTCAGTTCATTGTAGACGGAGCAGAAGGCCTCAGCCTCCCTGTATATGGTGAGATCCCGAGGAGAGTGCAGCCCCAAGCCAACTGCCAGTACCATAGGGGAACTGATCACATTTTGAGCTTCCTTATACATAAAATGTTGAGTTTAATGTGATATTCTCCATGTATTCCTGCTAGGAATGAGAATCCTCCATGCAATAAGCACCAGGAATGAGAAACAAATTGTGCAATTCTGTGTGAAAAATTCCTTCTTCCCCAGGATTAAGTTCCCTATTCACCCCCACTGTGGCTGTCATAGAGAAAGAAGTAGGTCATCAGAGACAAGAGGATTGATTCAGGATAAGAACAGGTCTTGAATTTTACCTCTGAAGAAGTGGAAATCTCTTTAGACATAAAATTCTGTTTTACTGGGTCATGTTGACTTTTTCACAGGTGTGTGGTCTCTAGGCTACTTTTAGCCCTCATGTGGACTGCTTTCTGCTTAGTCGCTGCCTGGCTGCTGAAAAGGCACTGGACACTCCAAGTCCATCCTCTCGTCACCTCAGCTGACCTTTGGAATGCAGTTGTCGGCCAAGAAGACATTGATATCCCAGTCTCCTGCTAGCAGAATTCTTTAGGGCAGTGCCTGCTCAGATTGTCTCCTGATGTCATTCCAAATGTCTGATGGCCATCTATGGCAACTGGGCTGGGCTCAGGCCT